AGGCTGAATTCTCATGTTTGTCTTTACTATGTACAGATTTAATTTTGTATAAACAATTACTAATTGACATGGGAATTGATGTAACAGATCCTATTGTTATTTATGAAGATAACCAATCAGCAATACAGATGGCTTCAAATATTGCTGTTAAAACAAGAACAAAACACACAGATTTAAGATATTTAAATGTGAGACAATGTGTGCAAAATAAGATGATTAAGCTAGAATACTTTATGTCAGAAAACAATATAGCAGATCATTTTACAAAGGCCCAAGGCTCTATAAAGCATAAGGCTTGCTGTGAAGATTATGGACTTAGAATGTAAGGTTATCTATATTGTCTTACCCAAAGGGGGAGAATGTTAGGAATATAAGTTACCTAACAGGTATTTGGGTTAGAAATATATAAGCCAGGATAGACATTTTAGTACTATGTCTTTAAGAGATTGCAAAAACTGCAATTGGGTGTGGTTTTTCAAACGGCCATAAGATGGAGCCAGAAACCTGGGTTGTTTTAGCCTTAGTCTCAGAAGAGAGTGAATCTCTGTTTCCTTCTGTTGGAAAGTATTGCCATTCCTCCATTTCTTCTAATTGACTGATATTATTGGAATTTGATGTAAGTCTGATACTGAACTGTTTTTGACACTGGAATTTGTTATTGGATTATCCCTGGATGAAAACTGACTGATTTACTTGTGAATGACTTTTGGACTGCTTATCTTGAACTTTGCTTAAACTTTCTGGAAGTAAAAACCTACATTTACTGTACAGTGTATCTGTGTACTGTGTGTGTATTATTCAAACACTTCTCTCAAATACGTCTCCCTGTATGTGCTCATTCTCCTAACGGGGAATTACCTCAACGCTTCCCTCGAGCCTCGAGAGGGCGAAAACATCTTCAAATGGGCCAAAAATCAGCTGGGAGGCCCATGCATGCGCAGTGCAGGTAAGGGGGCAGGATGGGGGTGTTGCACACACATGCGTAGGGAGGCAGGGCACATTGCATTGTGGGTGCCGTCATGCACACACGCTTTCAGCACACCACAATAAAAAGATTCGCCATCACTGTCCTAAAGGAAGTGAATAGAAAAAGTCATACAAGAGAAGTCTATTTTACAGAGATGTTTCTGCTGAGAAAACTTTTTTTTTTAATTTCCTCCTGACACTGAAAAAGTTCTTGCTACTGCACATAATATGGGTAATATTTGATTCGAGGAGTGTTGCATCTCCAGCTGAAGGTCAGAAACAGAGGTCATTGCAGTCAACCCACGTCCACCATTCACAATTATGAGCTACAGCACAATTACTGAATCCACAATCTTGCTGAAAATGGGCCTTTCCCTTTCTTAACATCTCTGTTGCAATGATAATCCCATCCAAGCAGTGATTCATAATGTCCTTGCTTCTTGAATTCAACCCTCATCTGGCACATCTCAGCTGCTGCTCCCTAGGTATTGTTGTAATACTTGAAATAGAAGATTAGTCACAAGCTTCATTAAAGTCATAGGAGCTGAGGATATGGAAACAAAAAAAAAAAATATGGCTGAGATGGAACAATATCAAAGTAAATCCCCGATATAACCCAACAGAGCATCTTCTCATAAAAGTCAGTGTTTCAGAAGTGATGCTTCAATAAATACAACGCACATCATGCTATTGTTATTATGCATGAAGTTAATGTAAGATGCTGATCGGTCTCCTGTGCAAACCTAAGTACTGAATAAAGCAAGAAACTTAAATTTATTATCCTTTGTGAAACATCCCAAGAGAACAGGAGGCAAGATGTTTTACATATATAAAATAAATGCCAACCACTAAAATCCAAAGGTGTGGATAAAGGTCAGGAGGGTAGGAGTGGTCCTCACATGAAGGGCGGGCAAGATGTTCCAGATGGCAGGTGCAATGACAGGGAAGGCCTCTCTTCTGGACCACACTAGTTGGAATAATTGACTGATGGGACTCACAGCAAGCCTCTGTCGGCACGGGTGGAATAGACTAATTCCAGTAGGATGCATTTTTAATAGCTTCTCTGCCTATTTCCTGTCATAAAGGGAGCCAAACAGCAGCTGAAATGCCCAGATGGAAGTATCTGTGTTGCAATGAAGAGTATTACTCCAAACCCTGTAAATAAATCTCAGCTGAAGATTCTGCAGGAGGTGAGCCGGATCAAAGAGGAGGAAACTGAATCAATTAAATCTTATTTATTTGCCTGAACTAATTGTAGAACCTCCCTGGCAGTATTTAAAAACATTGTTTAGCCACTATGAACATAAACCTTCAGGATAGGTTCAATTATTGTAAGATCATTTCATAAAACAATGGTCTCCTCAGCCAAGAATTAGTCTATTCACAGCTGTTACTGACTTTTGGCAGAGAATGTACGCTTGACATCAAATGCCGAAATCCATTATGAAACTTCTATGAAGCATCAGAATAGAAACAGAGCAAATATTCTAATTTTCTTTTGTACTTCCCATTCATTTTAATGGATTGCATCAGGCTAATACACACAAAAGACTAAGCCATCAGATTATTAAGCTGATGTTGGTTTTATGTGATTTTGAAGCTATTGTGATTTAGTGTTTTTTACAAGCCAGACTGCTCTGGCTGATTTAGCAAACCATGATTCGGGTTAGCTCCAACAATTCAATGACCTCAATGTTTCATTTAATAATACTTTCTAAATGTTCCCCCTGCAGAATCACTAACTCCAAATTACCTTCTCTCCCTCTTGATGGGAATGATAACTGGCATAGCAGGAACCAACATAGAATGAAAAAGATTAGAATTTAAATTCTGGTGCATATATACAAGCTTTGTGTGCTATATACTGAATAAACAGCTATTATACTTAGCCTCATTCTTATATATAATAAGATATCTATAAGTTGTGCCTGATAGTCTACTAACCAATTCCAGAATAAAGGCTGAGAGCATAGACAAGCTAGATGTACAGTCCTTTTATGTATCATAGTATTTGTATGCCAATAACTCCAGGTAGGCTTGTTGGTTTACACAGAATCCAATAAAAATAAATTCCACAACATACAGTAAATCTTATAGCAACAATGACCTCTTTGTTATCAAGCTTATCTACACGAGCTGCCAAATGTTTTCCAGAACAATTCCATTTCCAACTATGCCTCTAAAAGCCAGAGATTCTACAGATCTTTTTGCAAAGAAGTATTCCATAGGCATGGAGAACTTGATTGAGAAACACTGGTCCCTTGTGTCCCTCCTCAAATTGTATATGGGAAGGGCTTTTAACTTCATGTTGGGAAAATAGCATTGGATGAATTGACCAAGTATCAACCATATTGGACTCTGAAAATAACAACCATCACCTTCAACTACACTGCTCAAAAAATAAATAAAGGGAACACAAAAATAAGACATCCTAGATCTGAATGAATGAAATATTCTTATTAAATACTTTGTTCATTACATAGTGGAATGTGCTGACAACAAAATCACACAAAAAAGATCAATGGAAATCAAATTTAGCAACCCATAGAGGTCTGAATTTGGAGTTACACTCAAAATGAAAGTGGAAAAAAACACTACAGGCTGATCCAACTTTGATGTAATGTCCTTAAAACAAGTCAAAATGAGGCTCAGTAGTGTGTGTGGCCTCCACATGCCTGTATGACCTCCCTACAACGCCTGGGCATGCTCCTAATGAGGTGGCGGATGGTCTCCTGAAGGATCTCCTCCCACACCTGGACTAAAGCATCCCCCAACTCCTGGACAGTCTGTGGTGCAACGTGGCATTGGTGGATGGAGTGAGACATGATGTTCCAGATGTGCTCAATTGGATTCAGGTCTGGGGAATGGGCGGGCCAGTCCATAGCATCAATGCCTTCATCTTGCAGGAACTGCTGACACACTCCAGCCACATGAGGTCTAGCATTGTCTTGCATTAGGAGGAACCCAGGGCCAATCACACCAGCATATGGTCTCACAAGGGGTCTGAGGATCTCATCTCGATACCTAATGGCAGTCAGACTACCTCTGGCGAGCACATGGAGGGCTGTGCGGCCCCCTAAAGAAATGCCACCCCACACCATTACTGACCCACTGCCAAACTGGTTATGCTGGAGGATGTTGCAGGCAGCAGAACGTTCTCCACAGCGTTGCCAGACCCTGTCACATCTGTCACATGTGCTCAGTGTGAACCTGCTTTCATCTGTGAAGAGCACAGGGCGCCAGTGGCGAATTTGCCAATCTTGGTGTTCTCTGGCAAATGCCAAACGTCCTGCACGGTGTTGGGCTGTAAGCACAACCCCCACCTGTGGACGTCGGGCCCTCATACCACCCTCATGGAGTCTGTTTCTGCCGTTTGAGCAGCCACATGCACATTTGTGGCCCGCTGGAGGTCATTTTGCAGGACTCTGGCAGTGCTCCTCCTGTCCTTCCTTGCACAAAGGCAGAGGTAGCGGTCCTGATGCTGGGTTGTTGCCCTCCTACAACCTCCTCCACGTCTCCTGATGTACTGGCCTGTCTCCTGGTAGCACCCCCATGCTCTGGACACTACACTGACAGACACAGCAAAGCTTCTTGCCACAGCTCGCATTGATGTGCCATCCTGGATGAGCTGCACTACCTGAGCCACTTGTGTGGGTTGTAGACTCCGTCTCATGCTACCACTAGTGTGAAAGCACCGCCAGCATTCAAAAGTGACCAAACCATCAGCCAGAAAGCATAGGAACTGAGAAGTGGTCTGTGGTCACCACCTGAAGAACCACTCCTTTATTGGGGATGTCTTGCTAACTGCCTATGCTTTCCACCTGTTATCTATTCCATTTTCACAACAGCATGTAAAATTGATTGTCAATCAGTGTTGCTACCTAAGTGGACAGTTTGATTTCACAGGTGTGATTCACTTGGAGTTACATTGTGTTGTTTAAGTGTTCCCTTTATTTTTTTGAGCAGTGTATATCAGAAGTGTATTGGCAACCAATGCATTCCCTGTAGTTATTCTGGGCCAAAGTATCACTTACCTCCTCATTCCAAGGCAGAACATGGCTTGTTACATTTGGTTTTGAGGCTCTTCCAGTTCTGTCGTGACTATACCTTTTAGAAAACCACCCATGAACTCCTTGATCTTCTACCTGTAATTTTTTTAAAAAGGGAAATATAAACAAAATAAAAATTAAGTAGGATGTCATTTGTAAAAGATCAAAGAAACATACTTTTGGAATTATGCCTGATAATTCCAAAAGATACCAGTGCCAAATACAAAAGTTTTGAGAAAATTGGTTGATAATAATAGAATACAAGTGTTGAATGTCCAGGTCTGTCAAACTGGTGACCCACAAGCTGGATGCATCACACACAGACCAACCCCACAAAGGCAAAAAATGTCACAATATGTCACAATGTTACATGACACAATTGAGTTTGGCACCTGTGCATCTAGTCTATCGCATCTACAGTAGATACAGAAAGAGTGCAACAGAGGAGGAAAATCTTCTAGGTCTGTTCAGATACACAGTGCTATCACTCCTCAGACATCCAGATTAGAAACATCAGCAGGAAATGACTCAAACCTGCCCAATCAGCTTATGTCAACCATCCCTCCTTATAAAGAGACAAATTACTTAGGCAATTAGGGTATTCAAAGAAGGGAACAAAAGTCTTAGCTTGTGATCAATGACACCTTGTCAAATTCCTCTTCTGGCAGAATTAATTCTCAGCCAGCTGCCACCAGTGAAGGAGGAAGGAGAAAATATCCCAAGATTAACTATGTCACACCTGGCCTTCTCTCCAGTAAACCTCCAAAGGTTTTTGTTTTTGTTTTTGAAATGCCTGTACCAGCTAAAGATGGAGGCAGGTGGCTGCTTTCTGCAGGATTGGGACTTTTACACCTGGCCTCTAATTTACCATTTCTTCCTTATGAGGAAACTGTAGCTGTCGCTGAGGCAATCAGTACAATGGTTAGAAGGATATAAAGGTGAGCTGTAGCTCTTGGAAGCACTTGCTCCCATCTGTGGCTCTGATCTCATTCATGAGCATCTATCATAAAAAGGACTGGCTGTCTGAAATGACAACAGATATTCTATCTGTCTGGCAAACACACAGAAAGATGTGGGCTTCTGTTGTTCACAAGAACTGCCACAGAGCTCTGAAAGAGAAAAGAGCTATTTGCAGAAATGAACTATATCATAATAGAAAATAGTCTTCTGCAGGTGGAGTTTTATCCAGGTGGGAATACTGGGAAGGTGGTATCTTCTCTAGGCAGGAATACTAGGAAGTAATCTAACATGTTGAGAAGATACTAGGATATAAATGACTTAGAAAAAGTATAGTTGGAATGGACAAAAACTCTGCTGTAATAAAAAAAATAATGCAGCCAGGTAAGTTGAATAAACAAACATTCTAGTGAGTACTACTCAGATTGTGCAAATGTACAGTATGTCTTTGAAGTCCTTTAGATCAGGGGTCCTCAACCACCGGGCCGCGGACCGGTCCCGGTCCGTGGAGCACTCTGTACCGGGCCGCAAATAAAAATTTTTTTTTTTAAATGGCGGCTTTCTTCACCTTCGGTGAATGCTGCTGGGATCGGGGATCAAGGACACAAATGAGAGAAGGGGAGGGAGGAAGCAACCAAAGCCTGTCCTGCTCTCTGGCTCAGCGGCTTCGGTTTCCTCCCGCCTCGTTCCTCTCTCAGTCGCTCTCTCGCTGCTCCACCAGCCCAGGAAGAAACTGCTTCAAAGAAGCCGGGGGGGGGTGGCTTTTCCTGTCGCCGCAGCGCCTCCGAAGCGCCCGTTCACCCCCACCCCGCCCGCCCGTGCGCGGTTCAATTCAGTGCCCCGTTCTGCCTGCCTGCCTGTTTGGTTGTTTGGGAGCAGCTTCGGCTGAGAATAATAACTATTCGCCTCTTTTTATCAGCCGAAGCTGCTCCGAAACGAAGAAGGCAGGCAGGCAGGCAGAACGGAGCACTGTGGATTGAACCGCGCGCGGGCGGGGTGGGGGTGGGGGTAAACGGGTGCTTCGGAGGAGCTGCGGCGACAGGAAAAGCCACCCCCCCGCTTCTTTGAATCAGTTTCTTCCTGGGCTGGTGGAGCAGCGAGAGAGCGACTGAGAGAGGAACGAGGCAGACACCTGAGGGAGGGAGGGAGACACCTGAGGGATGGGGCTGAGGGAGGCAGGGCGAGGCGCTCCCTGAACTTGGTGGTTTGCTGGCAGACGTTTTATTACCCGACTAGGTAACAACATCAGATGTTACCTAGTCAGGTAATGAAACGTCTGCAAGCAAACCACCAAACTCGGATTCTCCCCCCCCCCCCGGTCCTTGAGAAAGTGTTTGTGCTTGAAACTGGTCCCTGGTACAAAAAAGGTTGGGGACCACTGCTTTAGATTGTTGGCTAAACCTCACTCTCTCTCTCATAATAAGGATGCTACCTTGCCTGGTTAAAAAAAAAGCAAAGTATCCAAGCTCAGAGATCACAAACAACCCAATAGTTCAACCCTGGGCTACATACATTTTCTTCTGTTGGAATTCAGATACAAGTTGGTCTTTTCCTTTTGGCTTGTTAAATCTAGATCTGAACTGATTCTAGATTCCTTTTCATTGTGCAGATGCAATTTCAGAGTTCCCATTACCAGCTTTTGAGTGGTCTGAATTAATATCCTATTCTTATATATTAGAATAGAATAGAATTCTTTATTGGCCACATGTGATTGGACACACAAGTAATTTGTCTTGGTGCATGTTCTCTCAGTGTACATAAAAGAAAAGAGACTTTCGTCAAGAGTCAAAAAATATATATGCTGCCCATCTCACTGTTGAGTGACTTTTATTACGGAATTATTATGGAAAAGACAAGGTAAGGGATGGGTATTTGATTACTGCATTTTACTAAACACTCAGCTGTGTAGTCAATTTTCAATTATTGATGAATTATGAATAATTATTAATATAATACCATATTCTGTATCCTTAGAAAGTATCCTTAAAAAGATAAAGCAGTGGAAAATGGTTAAAAAATATATCAACCCTTACTAACCCAGCTTACTTTACTGATGGACGTGTTCTAGCAAAATGCTATAATTTGTGTCACATCCCTAAAGATGCATTCACTTCTATGAAATAAATAATATGTGTCTCATGTACAGTAATCACATCTATTCATATCTATTTTGCCTCATGCTCATGCTGTAGGAACCTAAGGCCAATTAATTTTTCACCACAGACAAACACACGTTGTACACTTCCAGACAGCTATATTAATCTACCAGCCAAATGCCTTGCCTTTAGGCGGTTTTCATGACACCATAGCCTTCCCATCTGTAAAAAGATTTCTCTCCTACCACATTTCTCTTGATGAGTAAAAAAAACAAAAACATTTTAGCTTTAACCTCTTAACATTACCAGTATTACTATTACGTTCACAGCCACACTTTTGCAAGGGGGGGTGGGATGGCCTGTTTTCCATTGCAGGGAAATCTGGCCCTGCTACTTTGGGTCTTGTCCTGTATTTAACCCCTGCGTGGTCAAATTTGGGCACAGACAGCATCTTCAATCAACTCTCTGACATTCAGATATAGATTGTTAAAAATGGATCTTTTTTCAGCCTACTTCCCATTGAGTAAAATACCTCTACAATTACAGCTGTTCAGAAAGCTGTTTAAATGGAGTCATGCCCCTATCAGAAAGCCTATCCAGGCTTTTCTATCCAGGTGTGCTGCTATATCACCACGCCAAATGATACATTGCAGTTTTTACAATCATTTTTCCCATTTCCCAACCACTACCACCCGCAGCATCCTCTCAGAGAGCTGAATTTTAGAGGGGAGATAAAGAAAAATTGCAGACTTTTCTGGAGGTGGGGGTGGAGAGAGACACATTTTTCTTCTTATGGAGAGAGGATAAGGGATTTTTGTAAACTCGTAGTCCAAAGCTTAAAGCCTTAAAGAATAGAATATGCAGCTGTTGCCCAGTTTGAAAGTAAAAAGGGAAAAACTCTTCCAAGTTTTATATTTCCAAAAATAAAAGCATGCCCTTGATGATAGCATCTTAGTATCAAAATAGATTTGAAAAAAATAAGTACAAGTGGGAAACCTTTAAATGTGTATTTTTAAATTTTAGGAAGCTGAAAAACTGCCAGTCTGGAAAAAACTTATTGTATGTTTGCCACCTGTGATTGTGCACATTCCATATTCTTCTTTGGCATTTTGTACATTATGTAAGGCTTTGAAGCATGTTAATCATGCTTGTTATTTCTACTTCCTACATGAAAGTATCTGTGCAATAAAAAGAAACACATGAAAGTTGGCAGCGAAGGCTTGTGGAGGAAACTGGTAGCCTCTTTTAATTTTAAGTTTTAAGTACACCACTTTCTGCCAAGAAAGTGCAATTCTTCATTTAAAAAAAAATAGCAGGGCTACAGAAAAGATCCAAAAGAGGCAACAGGCTTGTGCAGATGCTTCAAAAGGTCTCTTTGGCAATCTGGTCGTGTGGATGTAGATCCCTTGCAAAAAGTTTTGAAATAGTGATCATCTAAATGATGCAACTGCTTTAATGCTTTGACAAGAGGTGTTTAGCAAAGCCTTATTTCTGATACTCCCCAGGATTAAAAGACGAACTAGTTTCTGTTACAGAAGTGAGTCAGAGAAAAAAAAAACTTTTCTCCATCAGGTTCAAAATACAGGACACTGACACTGATCGATTTATACCCGTATGCTCCTGTGAGTGTGAATATATCCAGTGGTGGGATTCAGCCAGTTCGCACCACTTCGGGAAAACCGGTTGTTAAGTTTCTGAGCAGTTTGGTGAACTGATTGTTGGAAGAAATCATTAGGGCAGAGAACCAGTTGTTAAATTATTTGAATCCCACCACTGGGTATAACTGTTGTTGAATGCATTTGTAGCACTAAATGTTTAACATCATAAACGCAGATACACCCAAGTCAACAGTCTTTGACAGGATCAGGAAGAATTCCTCATATCGTGCACAATTTACACACTATATTATAAAAGTAATGATCTTATTCTCAATATAAATAAACATCATATTTCCCCTGGAATTGTATTTTCCCTTACTATAGACCCAGACAGGAGTAAACACATTATAGGGAGATTTCATGAAGGTTATGATTCCTCCCCACC